CTGCCCTGGTCAGACCGCAGGAGCCTCCTCCCTGGCCCGCACACTCTCACCCTCTCCAGTCTCTGCTCCCCACAGGGCCCCAGGCCTTTCTCAACATGGACCCTCACCTGCCTTCTCTGCTCCCCACACCAGGCAGGGAGGCTCACAGGGCCTGGCTCACCTCCACTTTCTCTCCCACCTCACCTGCCTCCAGCACCAGAGCAACATCAGGAGGAATGTTTTTTAATTTGACTTGTCAGTAGAAGGGCGCCTGGGCAGGTAGTGGGCGCCCGTCACTAAGAGGACCCAACCCTCACTCTGGATGTTTCCAGTGGATGTGACCACGCTGAGGCTCAGCCTCCTCAGCTCAGAGACCTTCCTCATGGCAGCTGCCACAGCAGTGGTCAGAACCCTGGGTCGCCCAATGTGTGGCCTGGGCTGCGCTTCTGAGTCTCACTCCCACAGTCATAGTTACGCTGGGATCATGGTATCTGACAACTCACAGGGTGTTGTGGGTTAACTGAATAATTCATGCAAATGTTTCTCTTATTTTCACTGTTGACTTTTTTTCTTTTTTTTTTTTTTTGATTATGAAAACTCAATTCAACACTTTCTCTTTCTCCCAGGTCTAATGGCACAGCCTTGTTACAGCAACAACCAAATAAAAGAACTTTTATAGTAAAAAACTCACCTCCAATCCGGTAGCAAATATCATAATGGTGCTTACCTTTCCGTGCTCTCCTCCGGCGTGGCCATGCGGACAAGCAGATGCATCCTGAACACTAGTGGGGAGAGGCGTGGGGGAAGCAGCCTGGGTTTGACCTGACATCCTCTCCCGGCTGCACATGGAGGGTTACGCTGGGGAGACGGGAGAGCCCCAGAATAAGAAACGTCAGTTCGCCCCTCTAACATTACATCTTCCCCTAGGAGCTGAGGGAGACCCTGGTGGGTCCGCTAAACTTGAGCAGCCTGTTCAGGCGCCATTTGTGTGACCTGCAGTTCTGCATTCCTGCACAAGGTCAGAGCTGCCCGGTCACTCAGTCACGGGAGCCAGACCTTACAAGGTGCCTTTCAAATCTTTCCAGAGAGAAAGCTTGATCTCCCTGGAAGGCGATGCATCACAAGGTGTGACAAGGGAGCCCAGAAGCTGACCAGGGGACCGCCTTGTTGATAAGATTAGGCCCATGGTCCAGAGTCTGGGGTCTGGTTTCCATTCCAACACTTGGTCATCAAGCAGATAAGAATTATCTGGTCAGCAGACTCCTGTCCCCCTGAAGCCCAAGATGACGTTCCTTATTTCACCCATCCTTTCCTCCTTGTCCTCCTATCCCACGTAACTGACGCTGTATGATTATTCTAGCAATAAAAACGGCCCGGATCTTCCTCTTCCGCAGCATCCTGCATCATGTAGCCTGCTCCACGACGCCCGTTTCTTTATCAGTGTGGTGTTGCCCGACGCAACAGACCCTGCTCCATCTCCCTCCCTTCCTGGACTGTGGACAAAGGCTCAGCTCAGGAACTGGGGTGACCTGGGCTAATCCTGCCCCTGGGCCAGGCCAGCAGGGCACACACTCCTCCCTCCCCCTGTGTGGCTCCCTCCAGCTCTGGTCTAGAGAGAAAGTAGCTGAAGCTCATGAAACAACCTCATTTTGAGGCCCGTGGGCTTTCTATGGTGAGTCCAAAGAAGATGAACGTAGGGGACTGGAGATGAACATTGGCGACTGGGGAAGGGAGCTGTCCACCATCCTAGCAGGGGCCTGGAGCAGGGGTCCTGCCCAGCTCCTTATACCTCAAGCCAACCATGAGATATTTCTAAACCTCAGCCTCTTCAGGTCCAATGCCTTTTCAGTCCTGCTTAGAAACTGCTTCTCCATGGAACCACATTTACTGAGTTGTTGTTCTGACACTCTTTACTCTGTGTGCGATTTGAATTCATTTATTCTGGGGCTTGATGTTAATTGTCTTCCCATCATCTTGTGTTGTGTATCCTGTCATTCTTTTACACACACACACACACACACACACACACACACACACACTCCCCTCTCCTTGGCAACCAGACCCTCCCTCAGCACTGGGGTTACTCTGACCCTCTGTCTCTGGTCCCCTCAGAGCCGCCCTCTCTGCAGTATCTCTACTAAGGGGTGTCTGAGCAGGCCCAGGAGTCCCTGCACCTCCTGCCTCTGACCTTGTGGGAAACCAGCCCCTCACCCTGCATGACAGTGAGGAGACGAAGGCAAAGTCCTGAGGTCAGTGATTGATGGAGGAGACAATTTGCTTTTTTCGTTTCTTTTTCCCCTCATTGTATTATTCAGGTGAGTTAGCATTGGTTTACACACTGTATGTGTTCAGAGGCCAAGGGTCACCCCTCTTCAGATGTTTGTTACCACATCACGCCTACCATAAGGGCACCCACAGTCTTCACCATAGCCCACTGGGCCCTCTCCCTACCTTGTTTCCTGCTCTTAGTCCCACCCTATAGCTTCAATTCCACAGTCATATTTCTAGAGTTTGTTTTGTTTTAGTTTCACCTGTGCCTGCTTTGTTTCTTTATATTCCACATATGAATGAAATCATCCAGTATTTAACTTTCTCCTTCAAACTTATTTCACTTAGCATAATCCCATCCATATCTATTCTTGTTGCAAAGTCAGTAGTTTTCTTTTTCATGGCTGAGCAGTATTCCATTGTGTATACAGTTTGTGTTCTCCATCCCCTCATCTGTCATTGGGCACTTAAGTTGTCTCCATTGCTTGGTTATGATAGCCAGTGCTGCAGTGTTTTACCTTCTTTGGATAAATACCAAGGAATGGAATGCTTGACCATGGGACAGGTCTATTTTGAATATTTTGAGGAACCTTCATTTGTTTTCTATGCTACCCATCGAAAAGAGAGGTTCCAGGATCCTTCACCCAAGGAAACGTGGGGCTGAGAAGGATGAGAAGCTAAGGAAGAGGAGGAAGATGTGGAGTAAGATGAGGAAAGACTAGAGGAGGCGCATGGAGCAGAAAGACATGTGAAGAAGAAGCCAGGCTTGTTCCTCAAGCTTGGACTTGTGCCAGGGAATTGGGGACACAGCAAGAGACACGTGAAAGAGACAAAGACTTGGGTGAGAGGCTGATAATGGCAGCTGTTATCTTGATTTGGATTTTGATTTTGCTCTTTTCCTTTCAGACTGGCCCCTCCTTCCCCTGTCCCATGGGTCTCTACCATTAGGTGCCTTAGCCTTGTGGCAGGCTTTCGGGCCCCAGTGGGCCTGCTTTGGGCCAACTCTCTTTCACTGGGTATTTACCCATGAGGGGACAGGTAGCTTTGGATGCTTCACTTGCGAACTATTCTAACTATATTCTTTCTCTTCTCTCTGTTGCACACTAATTCTCTACTGCACACTAATTTTATTAAAGTTCTTTTCTATTGAAGGTCTTATGCTTTAGAGTATGTTTTCTCTTTATTCAGCTGATGAAGATCCCATGTAGTGTACAGGTTTGAGGGTCCTGGGAAACCCTCATTCTGACCACTAACAGGACCAGACTTCATTCCCACCCACCATGTACCAGAAAGATTTCCTTTTCCTCCACACCCTTCAATGGGTCATTCTCACAGGTGTAAAGTAGTAACTCATTGTGGTTTTAATTGGCATTTTCCTGACAGCACATGACAAACATTTATCCACATACTTATTGGCCATCTGTATGTCTTTACAAAAGTATCTATTTAGCTCCTCTGCCCCTATTTTTATAGAGTTGTTTTCTTGTTTTGCAGTTCTTTGTAGATCTTGGATAGTAAGTCCTTTTTGGATTGATGATGTGCAAATATTTTCTCCAACTTGATGTTGTCTTTTCATTTTAATGAGTTTCCCTCACTATGTAGAAGCTTTTTAGTCTCATGTGATTCCATTGGTTTCTTTTTGCTTTTGCTTCCTTGGAGCACAGAAGACATTAGGGGCAATGAAAATACTCTGCATGATATTCTTATGATGGACACAGGTCATCCAACACCCACAGAATGGACAACACCAGAGTGACCCAAGAGAAACCATGACGTGCGAATATGATGCGCTGGTCCCTCACTTGTAACCCACGTGCCAGTCTGGTCTTAACGCGTGATTTGGACATGATGTGTGAAGAGTTTTATAAATTGAGGAATGAAGTGTAAATTTATTTTTGAAAGCATATTTCATGCTCATGCAAGGACATTTAAGTAACACTCAAGGATACGCATAAGTCAGTCATTCCCTTCCATCCCCCAACATCCCAGTCAGCCAGTAGCTGCTCAAAACCAATTAGCAATTTATTTTTTCTCTTCTAAAAAAATATATCCCTGCTTCTGTCTGGACAATAATGCTTGTTTTCCCATCATTAAAGGAATTCAGGTCACAGAGTGGGGGAAAACATTTGCATATCACAAAACTGATAAAGGACAGTATCAAGAATTTACAAATAATGTTTAAAATTCAATGATCAGCAAGAAATAACCCAATTTTAATAAGGACAAAAACAGTGTTATAAATATAGCAAAAAAAAAAAAAAAATTGACTTCCGGGCCTCCCCTGGTGGCGCTGGTGGTTGAGCGCAGCACTGTGAAGCTGTCCGCAGCCTCTGCAGTGCAGGTTCCATCCCGGCTGGTGGGCAAGAATCCCACACGGCGCGGCAGACCTCTCCTGTCTCACCCGCTGCTCCCCTCAGCAGTATATTTCATCAGTCTGCCTGTTCTGTTCCCCGCTCTGTCTCTAGTGAATCTTATCACCTCCCGTGCATATGGCCTATACCCCAGTTCTTATGCATGAATAAATAAATCTTTTTATTTATATTTTATTTAATATTATTTATAGACATAGCAACTTATGTAGACATAAAAAAATAAAAATATGAACAAATGCTCAATATCACTGTTAAGAACAACAGTGACACTATCCCACTGCTGTCCAGGGTGTGCACAACAGGAGCCTCATCAGGTTCATTGTAAAAGATCCTTAGGGGCTGAGAGACACATCAGAGCCCTGGCACTGCTGCTGCCTGGTTGAGAACAAAACAGAACCTGGTCAGAGATGAGACCACAGCAGGGACTGATGAGGGTGACTCCTCCATGGAGTCCATTTACACTGTCCCCAGGGACTCAGGGATCAAACCCCGGTCCACACTTACCTGCGGCCTGAGTGTAGCTTCCTCCTTGTCCTCCTGTGGGAAGAAACATCATGTGAGACCAGGGAGCAGTCAGGTCAGAAGACCTAAAGGAATCTTTTAATCCTGCACAACAGGGAAGTTTTCAGAACTGGGACTAAAGACCCAGGTCAGGACTGGGAAAAATGAAGAAAGGAGGTGAGGGGGGACTGGACCAAATGCCCTCTGGGCAACACACATGTGTGTGGATGGTACTTCCCATTAACCAGGCAAGACAAGTTCTCCCTGGGACATGAAAGCCCCAGTGGACAAGATCCCCCACTCCCTTCCCTACCTGAGTGCTTCTTCCTCCACATCACAGCTGCAGCCACCGCAGCTCCAGTGAGCACAGCTCCAAGGAGAACCAGGCCAGCAATGATGCCCGCGGTGGGGATGGAGGACTGAGGAGGGGGCACTGGAAGGGAAGGGAAGATCATACCCTGAGCCCTAGACCTTATCCTGACCCTCTGAAGGGCTCCAGAAGGGATCCTGATGGCCCTGAGAACAGCCTCAGTGCCCACATCCTTCTCCTCACCCCATCTCAGGACTTGGGGCTCCAGCAGCCCCTCATGCTGCACGTGGCACGTGTATCTCTGCTCCTCTCCAGAAGGCACCATCACAGCCACCCACTTCTGGAAGGTTCCATCTCCCCCAGGCCTGGTCTCCACCAGCTCCATCTCCTGGGTCAGGTCCTCCCCATCTCGTTGCCAGGTCAGGGTGATGTCCGCAGGGTAGAAGCCCAGGGCCCAGCACCTCAGGGTGACCTCATACTCAGAGGTGGGGTGGTGGGTCACATGTGTCCTTGGGGGATCTGAGGTGGTAAATCAGAAAACTCACTTTGTGTTTCCTCCATGGACACTGAGGAATCCTCATGAGACCATCCTCACAATGGACAAGACAACTGGTGTGGCAGGAATGACAGGGGTGAAGGATGCCCTGAGCAAACTCCATACAAATTCCATGATCACCAAAGGGAAGGTTGCGAGGACCTGAGGGTGGAGTTAAGCAACTGGGCTCTCCATTTCGGTATTTAACTGGTCATGTGGCCGGGAGTCACTGGCTTGGCCACCAGGCGTGCTAGGTTTTCGCCACCTCTGTGGGTCACTGGGATTCCAGGTCAGCGGAATGGGTAGGACGTATTTACAAACTTATCTCCCTCTTTTTCTCCCTGAGTTATTCATTTCCCATTCCCCTTCCTGTGTATATAAACCTTTCATCAACCTTTTGTGTGTGTCTGCAGTTTAACATTAAGAAGTCCCCTTTAATCGCAAGGGTGGGGACCCACAGTCAGGAAACCCCATTTTATATCGGGGTTTGCCCTGTAACAGCTAGAAGCATAAATTGTAAAAAAAAAAAAAAATCTGTAGGATTCTCCTATTCCTTAGAAAGTTCTAGAATGAGGATGAAAGCCCAGGGTAGGATGAAGCAGAGGGAATGGAACACAGACTTTTTATTCCTGACCTGGGTGGAAGGTGAATGACACAGAAAAGCAGGAATCACATAACTGAAAATGTTCTCAGACCAGAAACAAGACTGAGAGAGAAACTCGTGGTTCTCAAACAGGCCCCTGGTCAAAAGGACCCGGTGACGTGTGATGTCAGGGACTGTCTGTCTTTCTCAGGAGAGACGGGATCCCTTCACTGTCCTTCAGGAGAAGCCGGAGTCTCTGGGAGTCTCTCTAGTGCAGAACATGAAACCCAGGGGAGCCCCCCTCTCGGGACTAGAGAGAGGACTCATTTCCCGCAGTGACTCCAGGCAGGGGGGGACCGGGAGGCCTCCAGGCCCCTCTTACCCGTGCGCTGCAGAGTCTCCTTCCCGTGCTCCAGGAATCTGCGCAGCCACCTCAAGTACTTGCCCTTCTCAAAGTTCCTGAATTTCTCTGCCTCACCCTGGGCCTCCCACTCGCGCCGGGTGATCTGAGCAGCCGTGTCCACCGCGGTCCAGGAGCGCAGGTCCTCGTTCAGGGCCAGGTAATCGGTGCCGTCGTAGGCGAACTGTCTGTACGCGCGGAGGAGATGCCCGTCGGGGCCCACGTCGCAGCCAGACATCCTCTGGAGGGTGTGAGAGCCTGTCCCCGCCCCCCCCACACACAGCCCCCGCGTTACCCCGTGGTCACCCCAGGGTCACCCCGACCTCCCGCCGGGAATAAACTAAACAGAAGGAAACGGGGTGAAAGCCCCTAGGGCTGTTCCAGGGCAGGTTGCAGAGAAGCCTGGAGGGGGAGACCCTGAGCGACCCCCCCCGTCCGTGGGGATGGGGGTGCTGACCCGGCCCCGACCCGCGCCAGCTCACCGGTCTCGCTCTGGTTGTAGAGGCCGCGCAGGGCGTCCAGCTGCGCTCGGGACCACACTATGTTCTGCCTTACGATCTTCGTCCTCCAGTCCCACTCCTCCTGCCCTGTCTGCTCCGCCCAGGGCGCCCGCGGCTCCACTCTCTGGCCCGGAGAGTCGCTGTCAACCACCCGTACTGCGTGTCGTCCACGTAGCCCACGGCGATGTACCGGGGCTCCCCGAGGCCGGGCCGGGACATCGCGGTGTGGAAAGTCCTCAGGGAGTGGGGGCCTGGGGGCGGGAGGGGAGACCCGGGCTATTCTTCTCCCCTTTCGGGGGCTCGAGACCCAGGGGGCGCCCACGAGACAGAAAGTGGGTGAAAGACAAGACTGAAAAGCGGCTGCGGGACGAAAATGGCCGGGACTCGGGGGGCCAGAGGAGGCTGGGGTCTCGGGGGACGGAAAGGGGCCAGGACGGGGCGGGGCCGAGGTGGGGGACAACTAGGGCGGCGGCGAGGTCGCGCCTTTCCCACGCCCGCCCGCGCCCTCGCCCCGCCTCTGGGAGCGCCCTGTCCCCTCCCGACCCGCACTCACCCGCCCGGGTCTCCCTCGGGGCCGCGGCCACCGCGAGCAGGAGCAGGAGGGCTGCCCCCCCCCATCCCCCAGGACGCGCCTCCACCCGGGTGGGGAGACGGAGTCCCGGCGGGCGGGTGAGGGCTTTGGAACGGGAGCCGCGGGGCTGCTGATTGGCTGCTCTGGAGACCTCCAGGCAATGGGGAGTGAGCCCTGGGGTGAGTCACCAGTATCCAGGAAGGAGGACCCGACTCAGGCTGTGAGACGTGAAACTGGGGAGATGAGGAAGCCCCGACAGTCACCTTCCAGCCCCAGACAGTGCTCTGGGGACTGAGACCTTGAGAGCCACACCCCGAGACCCTCCTCTCCTGCACCAAGACCTTTGTCACACTGTTGCCTCCCTGAATCCAGGCCCAGGAATTGGGTCAGCGATTCTCAAACATTTTTCTTTCAGGATGTCTCTACAGTCTCAGAAACTATTACGGATCCCATGTATAATTTTCTATGTGGGTTAGAGCTTTAAATACTTTACTAGAATAAAGGCTTTTTAAGATGGTATTACTTCTTTACTTTAGAATGTTAATAACCAATGTATGCTAACAAAGCATTTTTTTAAAGATTTATTTATTTATGCATAGAAAAGGTGGGGTGCAGGCCAGAGATGCTTGGGGTAAAAGGATTCACCAGAGACAGAGAGGGGTGCACATCAGGCAGATGTACTGAAACACACTGCTGAGGGGAGCAGGGGGCTAGACTGCAGAGGTCTGCTGTACTATGTGGGGTGGCTCCCTGGCCAGGGATTGAACTCATGCTGCAGTGGCTGCAGGTAGCTTCATAGGTTGTGTCTTAACCCCTTGCATCACCAGGGAGGCCCTAACAAAGCATTTTTAAGAAAATAACTTTCTGTAAATATAAGGATAATTAAAAGAGGGGAACTTTCACATTTTATATTTTTGCAAGTGTCATTTTTGTCTCATTAGAAGATCTTTTAGTTTTCAGTTTCTTCTACATTGAATGTTTTGCTTGAAATCCATGAAAAAATATACAATCTCATGGAAATATGTAGGAATAGTATTTTAATAACCTTTTCAGATTATGAATATTCAACTTTGTTTCAACTTTCATACTAAATCATAACTATATAAGTAATATTTTCTCAAAAATTATTTGCAAAGTGAAACCTGAAACAATGTCATTGAATATTTCCTATTCTGTTATATTAACTCCATAGGCCTCTCTTGTATATTAATGGATCTTGTACAATTGTATGATTATTTATTTATTTATTTATTTATACAAGCACTGGTTATTGTCAGAAGCGCAGGAGGGTGAGAGAATTCACGAGAGCCAGAGCAGGGAGCAGAACAGGCAGAAGAACAGAAGTACACTGCTGAGGGGAGCAGCGGACGGCAGGAGAGGTCTGCAGGCCATCTGGGACCCTCGCCTGGCAGCCAGGGATCGAACCGGCGCTGCAGAGGCTGCTGCAGAGGCTGGGGGCAGCTTCGCAACCCAGCGCTCAACCGCTGTTCCACCAGGGAGGCCCAATTGTATGATTTTTTTTTAAAAGTTACCTATTGTTTCACTATGGGTTATATAGCTATATAGTGTTAATTACACTGGGGTCAAGTTATCAAAAATCACGTTTTATTTTTTATCACAGATCCCAAAAGAAAAATTAGTCCATACTGTAAGTTGTCAAGTTTATAGTGATAGGACTCAATTTTCCATAATTCTGGTTTTCTCTGGGAGTTTACATTTTATTTTATTTTTTTAAAGACTTATTTATTTATGCATACAAGAGCTGGGGTACAGGCCAAAGGTGTGGGGAGTGAGAGGATTCCCTCTGCTAAGAGGGTGAGTCAGGAGAGGTCTGGTGCAAGGTGTGGGCCTCTCCCTGGCCTGACTGCTTCACTGGTTGCGTCTTAACCCTTGGGCCACCAGGGAGTTTACATTTTATCAAGGCAACAAGTGCCATCAGTAGATTTTTAAAAGGGACAGACTCACATTCATTTTCAGGAAAGTGTCTGCCAATTCAACTAGTCTAAGTAACCATGGTATTAGCCATTCCCTCCTTCAATTAAAAATGGGATTGCCTAAAAGAAGAGGCTAATTCACTTCATACATTTTTCCCCCTTCGGACTGTAGCAGATGTGCCTTATGTGCACTTCCTTGTCATTGTTTGAGCTTTAAAAATGTGGATTTCAGGATGATAAAATAGAAAAGATGCTATTGTGATTTAACCAGGACTTTTCTTTGTTAAGATTTATTTATTTATTTATACAAGCACTGGATATAGTCAGAAGTGCGGGAGGGTGAGAGAATTCACCAGAGCCAGAGCGGGGAACAGAACAGCCAGAATGATGAAATACACAGCTGATGGGAGCAGCGGGCGACACAGGAGAGGTTTGTGCGCCATGTGGGACCCTCGCAGGTGGCCGGGGATGGAACCCGTGCTGCAGCAGCTGCAGGGCAGCTTCGCAGCCCAGCGCTCAACTGCTGCACCACCAGGGGAGACCCGACCAGGACATTTTGAAGTGAAATTGGTTTGGATTTTTTTTTCTGCGAGAAAGTGGTGGTGAAGAATAACTACTACTGCAATTGGTACTATAATTTCCATTCTTACTAAGTTTTATCTTAGCAAATATCAAAATAGTGAAAGGCAAATGGTGTCTAAGTAATGTTATAAAAATAGTTTTGACATCCTGGATCCCGTGAAAGGTTCTGGGTGACCTCAAGGGTTCCACAGGCCGACTTTGGAAATGCTTTTCTCAGTGAACCAGGAAGAATCTCCCAAGTGTCCTCTGCCAGAATCCATCTCTTTGGTTTGGATTTCCTATTTTCAAAGTTTTTCTTAGAGTTTTGCCCCTGGACTCCCTGGAAGAGAACTCATTTCAGAGATGAGGAGAGAGAGTTTTCAGTCTGAGAAGGGAGGTGGAGAGACAGGTGCTTCCCTTTGGAACTGGGACAGTTTGTGTCCGGAGGCACCAGACCCACTGATAATCTTCTTTGATCTTGTTTTTTGCCTGCTTAGTATGTATTTCCATCCAGGGACCTCACCTCATCTTTAAGAGAGATAATATTGGCCCCTTGATTCTACATGTGTTTAATGCATCTGACTTGATGCTCCCAAAGCATGAAGAGCTGTGCTGTCCAACAGAATGTTCTGGAAGAAAAAAAATGTTCTATATATGTACTGACCAATATGGTGCCTCTAACTATTGAACACTTTAAATGCGGCTCATGAGCTGAGATGTTGCATATTTAACTATATATCATTTAAAATTAAAAAGCCATATGTGGCTAGTAGCTACCATATTGACAGTACATATCTAGAATGTTCTTAACTTTCAGTATCTGCCCCCCAATACTTTGTTGTATAATGAAATAGTATAATAAAATATAATGTACAATAAAATTACCTTCATGTGGAAATAATGGATTTTTCTACATGGGGTTTAAGTATATCCTTAAAATATGGTATGTCCAAATAGTTTAATTAACATGTATTTTAACAATAGATAGAGAGGTGCAATCCCAAATCTGAATACAAACTCTGTCAAATCCCTGAATGACCACTAAACTGTGCTGAGGTATGGGACACTCAAGAGAAACTGCTGGAAAACCAGAAAGAACTTAGAGGGCGTTCTACCCTTGAGTGACAGACTCATCTCAGTGCAATCTGTGAGTCTGCACCTAAGACTGATGACTTCCCCAATCCACACAAACTCAGAGAACCAGAAGAAAAATCTTACTGACTTGAGGAATCAAACACCAGATTTGGTGGCAGTATTTGGGTGCACCAGGCACAAGGTAACCAATAAGTGAGTGAATGCCAACATCTGGGTAGACACTGTCCAAAACCTTGGTTGACCATTGAATCGCATGGAGACAAAAAACCTTGGTTGACCATTGAATCACATGGAGACAAGTCAAATTCTTCAAGACCCAGGATGAAAATGAAGCACTTGGAGACTGAAGCAGCAGAGCAGGGGCCCAGCTGTGCACACTGCAGGGGGAGATTTGGCCTCGATCTGGCAAATGTCCAACTTCAGTGGGGAAGAAAAGGAATCCCCAGAAAAATAAAAGAGTCCAGATGTGTTAAATCTTATAGCTTTCATGTATTTAGAATTAAGCCTGTTTTCTTCATGGTGCTTGTTTGAATAAAGCCTGACTATTCTCTACAAGGTATCGGCATAATTTTCTTTCTTTGACAAAAGGATATAGTGCCAGATGACAGACAGTAGAAGTTTTTCAAATCTTCACAGGTTTTTTTATATTCTCAAGAGGTCAAGAACAATTCCCCTCCTGTGAGTCCCTGGACTTGCTGGCTCCCTGGTCACGGAGGAGGCTGGGGCACCTGCGCCACTTCACAGTGAGGCTCAAACGGCTCCATGACCCCCTGCTTGATCTCTCCTGCTCACTCTCGGGGGAAGACATCTGCTGCACTGTATGGGCACTCAGATAAGGAGACACGCACATGGTGAGAACTGAAGCTTTTTTCCAGCAGCCACGTGCATGAGCCTTTATGTAGATTCTTCCATGTCCATCAAGCCTTTTCTTCGGCCTGACATGGTGATTGCAGCCTTGTTAGACCCCGAGCAGGAACCACCGCTGGTGTACAGACCAGAGGTGTGGAGGGTAAGTGGATTCACCAGAGGCAGAGTGGGAAACAGAACAGGGAGATTGACTGAAATACACTGCTGAGGGGAGCAGTGGGCGAGACAAGAGAGGTCTGCTGCGCCATGTGGGTAGCTCTCTGGCTGGGGATCAAACTTGTGCTGCAGAGGCTGTGGAGAGCTTCATAGGTTGTGTCTTAACCCCTTGCACAATGAGGGAGGCCCATAAATAAATACATCTTAGAAAACAGCAAAAGAAGTCTTGGAAAAAGAAGTTATGAGTGTGGAAGCCCTGGGCTTGGGTCTTGGATCTGTGTCATGCTAAATATGGGAATGTTTCCACTCTCGCCTGTAAAATGGGACTAATAGAGTCTTGGTTGTCTGCCTCACACAGGTGATAAGAGGATTAAGCTTAAACTTACAGTACTGTAGAAGT